GCTCCAACAGATCCCAGGAACAACATCTGAGATCTCTGTCCAGAAGAGTGCAGTCCTAGGAACAGCTAAGATACTGTGCAGGACCCTCAAGCTCCCAGGTCACTGGTAGAGTACCCGAGCTTGAAGGAATTACAACAGTTTTCTTTAATGTTACAGAAACAAGGCATTAACAGATGTGCAACGTGTTTAAAAAAAAATAAATAAATAAAAATCCCTCCCTTTGAAGTAGCTCCAAGATCGGTAAATCCAATCGGTGGTCACTGCGTCTCCCCCCACAAGACCACATACAGTCCCAAAGTAGTGAAATTAATTCCAACAGGTAGCGTAGCACCGACAGTAACATCATGGATTGTTGGAATCCTCTTGTTAACCCGTATTACATCACATGCGATAGACGCACTGGCCTCAAGCAGTCAAAACAAACAGGTACTGCACTCCGAGGAAGTCTATCATTGATGAGCTGATCATTCATCGCCGTCGGGTGCTTTATTGGCCGGCTGCTTGTACGTTAGGCCCGGTCAGGTAAAACAGCGAGTCCCCTGTACAGGAACATTCCTGGACATGCAGTAACCACAGGCCCTGTATTTTTCTCCACATCCTCTGGTCACAGTGCAGCAGCAGGAGAGAAAATACTGTATATCCACAAAACCAGGCACAGTTGAAAAATTCTGCTTTTACAATGGCACCGGTGGATGTCAGGCAAGCTCGCATGAACGTGCAACTTCCTGGGATTACCATTCAAGGAAATCCTTAAACTATCATGTAATACTGTTTTGTTAGGAAAAAAAGTCTTGCACGCATGAGTTTACAATAATTGTATAAACCGAGTTGCTTCTGCATAGAAGTACTAGAACATACAGTATGTACACCTCATTTTTTGAGCTTTAGATCACATCTAAGATGAGAATTTACCATTGTAACGTAAATAAGTCAGGAAACAAGGAAAAGCATGCCATGGGTTCTTTAATCTCCAGGTACACTATGTACACAGTTGTATTGACTAAGTGCTATTTTCTGTGCCCTGGAAAATGTGTAGAAAATCCGTCAGTCAGAGCATGAAGGTAGTGTGAAGATAGACATGGCACTGGCGGCAGCTGAAAACCTTTTGCAGAGCGCAGATGAAGAGCTGAGGAGCGACACCCAAGCTAAGATCAAAGACCTGAAAAGCCTGTGGGAGGAGACTTGCACCTACATCATCCACTGTCACAGGTGCTGCTTTTCTTATTACAGATGCAGTCAGGTCACTTCAACGTGTAGTATGTGTAGTAGTTTTGTAGGTGTTTCACATTCCTCCTGTTTAGTTTGACCTGAGGACAGCTCAGTTCACAGTTCAGCCATTAATGCTCTGTTTCAAATAACCTCAAATCTGTTTTCAAGTAATTGTTCCATGCTTGAACTGTGGCGTGCTGAAAAGCCACATACTGTACAGCATTAACATTTCTGAAAGAATTTAAAGGGTGTACTTGTATCATCGGGTTTCACCTACAGTTTTGATCTCTTTTTTTGTTTTTGTTTTTAAATAGATACGTTACACCTGGTTGTGATTTAACATTGTGTAGAACATTGTTTGGCATTCTTCACATTGTACTGTCTCACCTTTGTGGTGAAAATGCAGACTTGGCCAGACTGAAAATAATGATAATTTATTTTTAGTTCTTTGATGTAACATTGTCATGATGACATAATATTAGTGCTGGGCTGCAGCTGACAACATTTTTTTGCTACGAAATGTCCAATAATGCCCATCACTTACCAAGAGCCTGAGGTGTGTAAACAATGCAGTTAAAATTACAGTCTGACCTACTTTATGGTACGATGAACAGTTACCTTGAATTCAATTATTTTGGAATGGTGTTTTCACCTTTACTTGGCCATAACAGTGAGTCATTAGCAGTGATGTCTGAAAGAGATAACTATGTTGCTAAATGTACCACAGTATGAGCTAGCTGGAGGAGAGGTGTCTTATCAGCCACTTGTGAATGTGTTGTTGATATATCTAGTTTATGGAGTATCTGGGGCTGAATGACAGATAGTTGGTGGTTAGTATTTGCATTTAAATTATAGCTGCTTTGCAAATATAGTAGTTTCCTAATGTGATGACTAAATAAGTAGATAGGTAAAAAGAAAGTAAAAAAAAAAACAAAAACATAATTTTGCCTAAAAAACATTCCTGTGAACTGCATTTGACCAAATTGCTTCTTCCTGTTGTTTCACCTCACACACAGTCGGATTGAATGGGTGTGGCTCCACTGGTGCGAATACTTGAAGGCTTATGAGGAGTTTGAGCTGTGGCTGATGAAACAGCAGCGTAGTCTGGATGCTGAGGTGGAAATGCAGGTGGGGGTGAAGGAGAAACTTTGGCTGGTGGACCAGCAGAGGGTGGTGGTAAGTGACATCCACGGCCAGGCGGTGCTGTTAGAAAGGCTGCTGGACGAGGCTGCTGCGCTGCACAACAGAACCCAGGACCCCAGTGTGGAGCCCCAGGCCCAGGACAGGCTGCAGGAGGCCTACAATGATGTCAGAGACAGAGCTGAGGTGAGGTGCTTATTTATATGGTCTGATCCTCCTGCATTTTTCAGCTACAGCCTATATCTGAAGGTAATTGCACTTTGTATACTTATATACAAAGTTCAAGATACGAAGTGCAACTTTGCTCAGAGCTTTCACACGGGGCACAAGAGATATTTGGAGAACATGCATTGTGCAGATTTTCAAGACAATTTTTTAACCCAGTGAATTACAAAATGAAATTTCTGGCCTGTAAAGTTCATTATATCAATAAAGGTAATGTGATTTTGTGCTTGTTGAAAACAACAGCACAACTTCTAGCACATGCATGAGGAAACCAAAAGCAGAAACTAATTTAAAAATTGTTGCACATCCATCACTCACGACAGAAATATTGATTGTTGCATACAAACTGGATTACACAGATCTTGTTGGTGATTAGAAATGCAAGTAACAAATAGTTTATTATCAAATAATTGTGTGCTTATTTATGTGGTTGAACTTGTTTACATAGTTTTTCAAATGTGAAAAAATTGTAAAACAAAAAAAATTGTACATTACAGTAGCATCTTTAAATTGTTTCTTAAGCCATTTTCAGACAGGACGCCATGGATGCTGTGCTCTGCTATCAAACCCATTCATGTCTATGTTTTGCACAGCGCAAGAACGTATCTGCACTGTGCTGAGCTGAACCGAAGTTAAAAACCGTTTTACTTGGGCACAGCACTCTGTGATGACACTTTGACATGTCCAATTGCAGAGATCCTAACAGACCACAAAGTAAATAGAGGAGAAGCTGATTTTGGCAGATCCACACCCCCTCCTTCTTTGCTTGCAACTCATCTCCTCCTCATCAATGCAACTAAAGCCAGAGCTTTTTGCTGACATGTAGATAGATACATTGTGCATCTGAAAAAATTAGTTACTATCTGCTAATCAGCTTGTGGAAATATCTTGGGTTGCCTAGCAACTGGTGCCCAACATGGGCGTGATTTGCGTGTGTGCGCCCTCCTCCCCTGTGCTCTGCCCACCCCCCGCGGCGAGCGCAGCGCATGCTGTGTCCTATCTGAAAATGGCTCTAGTCAGCAGCTTCAAATAGGATTTGATGTCGCCCGCTCTGGCCCCAGGAATACATTTGACTGGTCTCTCTAGCTTCAGGTTTCTGACTATGGAGTCACCAGTTGCCAGAGTTGGTTCCGCAGCGGGTGTGTTGCTAAGTGGGGAAAGTCGTTTTGAAACATGAACAGGCAGGTGATTAATCATGGATATTTCTTTAAAGCTAAGACTTTTGCGAACTGTCACCCAGCCATCTGGCTGAGATCCCAGCTGCTTGGGAAGCGCTGGGGGCCGGCTAGCTTGGGCAGAGCTACGTCTAGGGGGCTCCGCACTGGTTACATGGGCATAGCTAGCTGGGGTGTTTTCCATGCTGTAGAGCTGTGCTTCCAATGATACCCAAATGTGATGTCTGTGATGAGTGTTATGATATTTTCATTGATTTTGAATAGTGTGATGCTAAAAATTACCGCAAGGTGTGTCTCCTGTTGTGCTAGGAGCGTCTGTCGCTGCTTCAGAAGATCGCTGAGGAGCACCAGACATATCAAGGCCTTGTGCAGAGATTCCAGTCCTGGCTGCTGTCAAAAAACAAGGAGCTAACTGATCTGATGGAGAGGGAAGATACAGGCGAGAACAAGCTTAAAGCCTTACAAGTAAGTCTCACTGATACTGAATTATGTAGCTGCTGTTGATGTTGCCATATTGGTAGTCTTCATTTTCAGCAGTGATAAATGTCATATAAGCTAAAGGTAGAGTTTGGAAAAAAAATTCTCTGCTGTGTAACTTCCATCCATCTATCCATTATCCATACTGCTTATTCCTGAATATGATCGAGAGGGGCTGGAGCCAATCCCACCTGACATTGGGCGAAAGGCAGGGTACACCCTGGACAGGTCGCCAGTCTATCATGTAGTCTATTGCCAGGTCTGACATGTAGACAAACAACCACACACGGGCAATTTAGAGTCACCAGTCAACCTAATCTGCATATCTTTGGACTGTGGGAGGAAGCCAGAGTACCCGGAGAGAACCCGTGCAGGCACGGGGAGAACATGCAAACTCTGCATTGAAAGGCCCCAGGTCGGCCGGGGGCTCAAACCTGGAACCTTTTTGCTGTGAGGTGATAACGCTAACAGCCGTGACGCTGTGCCACCCCAGCTATGTAACTTTCCTATTCTAAATGTACAGCAAATAAAAAGAAAAATATAGACTGGTTTATGAGCAATGTCATCAATAAGATGTGTGCATCACAGGGGTAGAAAACAAAGCAGACTGAATAAGACTATGTAGGAAGTAATATGACAAGCACTTGTGCAGTAAACTGCTTGAATTGCTGGAATGGTGGCTGGAAAATGTCACCATCCTAAAGGGAAAGTATTCCTTCCAACAGAGAATGGAAAAAAGACTGGGGTCCTTCTGTGCTCAGTGATGATGAGAGGAGGTCAGGTCGGTGTTACTGGATGAGAGCTGGTGCAGTGTTAATTTCATTTCTGTTGAGTGTTTCTCCCTAAGGTTGGCTAATTATTCTTGAATAAAAAAATGTACAAAAGCTTAGTAAAGCCAAATTAAACTGCCACATGTAAGCTGGTTATGAAGCCTAAACTTTACATCATTACCTGACGCTACATTACATGCACAACTATTTGAAGAATAATATTTTTTAAACTTTCTTTCTCTGAGCTTTTCAGCCATGGCTTTAAGAAAAAATTTTATTATTTAAATGAAGTTAGAAACTGTCATGGCACCGAGCATTTTATTTATCAAAATAGACTGATCCTTATGCAGGATTATTTAACCAAAATTAATGTCCCATTTTCAGTTTTCCAAATTCTCCATTTTCCATTTGGCAAAAGTTTCATTTTCATTTTTGAAGGGTGTGCATGTAAATTATGAGGCAGAGTTTGAAGAGTAGCAGCCTGATGATTGGTCCAGCAGAATCTGGGGTGCCGAGTCTGACTAACCACATTCATTGAGGGCTACTGCCTGTTAGCTTTCTAAGTAAGCCTACTTCTCCCCACAAAACTAGATAAAATCCTTTTGGGGAATTTTTTCCTTTTTCTTTTTATTTTGGCTAAAATAATCTTCCACAATTGTTAGCTGAAGATGCTAAATAGCTATGTAGAATTGACATACAATATAAAGTCTGGTAGCTAACATGTTATGCTCAAAACTGACTGTGATAAAGTTAATCACATTGTTACATTACATATGCCTTGTATTAACTACATTTATAAACTAAGTGTTGGAAAATGTGGATAAGTGATATGATTAATGTTATTTGCTTTTTGTTTTTATGTAAACCGTTAATGTTGGATATTACATCCATGGTAATAACTGAGGTAGCAGCATTTAAATGAAAGACCATACATGGTCTGTTACTAAAGTAAGGTAATCACTGTTTATTAAAATCAGTTACTATTTAAAAATGATGAAAATCTCCAAAAGATGAGCAACAAATAGTCAAACAGTCCTGGTGCACCGACAGTAAGATTATCTCCAAATTTTGTTCCGAAGATGTGGAATATTTAACATTGAAGCTATGGCCATTTTATTTGCCCAGAGAAATGCAATATATCATTGTAAGTGTGGTGTACGTACCCCCCTCAGCCAGGGAGGGCGCTGCACTCAAAGAGTTGCATGACATGATCAATGAGCATGAAACCACATATCCTGATGCTGCTATTATTATTCTGGGAGATTTCAATCACTGCAATCTCAGAAAAAGCCTAAACTGTATCAGTTTGTGCCTTTTCCTACTAGAGGAAACAAAACACTGGACCACTGTTACAGTAACATTAGAAACGCTTTCTCAGCAGAACCTAAGCCTCATTTTGGTAGATCTGACCACCTAGCAATCTGGCTCTGGCCAGTTTACACCAAATGGCTCAAGGCGAAACCAGTCACAGTGAGAACTGAACACCTCGATTGACTGTGCACAGGCCAGCCTGCAGGGCTGTCTAGAGGCCACAGACTGGAACATCTTCAAAGCGGCCACAAACAATATCCATAAATATACAGACCCTGTGAGCGATTACATCAATTGGTGCATGTCTATATGTGCCCCACCCAGAACTGTGCACTTCTTCCCCAACCAAAAACCCTGATTCAATGTGGACATAAAACAGAAAATCAGGAAGAGGCAGGAGGCTTTCAATTCAGAGGACCAAGGGGAGTACAGGGGAGCCTGGTGTGAGCTACAGAGGTCCATCAGAGCTGCAAAGAGTGCATACTTCCAAAAACTGGAGAGCTGTTACCTGAATAATAACACATATGCAGCATGTGTATCATTGTAAGTGTGGTGACACACAAAGTGCATTGATGATGCTACTTACTGCAAAAATATCACTGTTCATGCCAACCAGAAGCCATGGATGACAGGTGACGTTCACAGACTCCTGAGGGCTCGGGATGCAGCATTTTGGGCTGGCGACACCGCAGACCGAGCAACAGCAAGAAAATATCTGGGCACTTCAGCAACACTAGAGATGTGCAGAGTCTGGCGAGGCATCCAAACCCTCACAGGCTATAAACCTCCACCTCGGAACTATGACAGAGACATCTCTCTGCTGAACAGCTTCAATGACTTCTTTGGGCGCTTTGAAACACAGACCAACACACTGGCTCAGAAGATCACCCCACCCCCAGGCGAGCAGTCTGTGTGTCTGTCCACAGTCAGCGTGAAGAAGACCCTCTCCGGGATCAACTCACGCAAGGCAGCTGGACCAGATAACGTACCTGGTCATGTTTTAAAGGACTATGCTGCGGAGCTCAAGGATGTCCTCATGGACATCTTTAACATCTCTCTGAGCCAAGCAGTTGTTCCCACGTGTTTCAAGGCCTCCACAATAATTCCAATTCCAAAGAAACCCCACCCAACCAGTTATAATGACTATCGGCCTGTGGCACTGACTTCTATTATTATGAAGGGCTTCGAGCGGCTGGTCATGCAGAACATCAAGTCTATCCTTCCTCCCTCTCATGACCCATTTCAGTTTGCATACAGGTCAAACAGGTCCACAGAGGATGCCATTACTGCTGTTCTCCATCCAGCCCTCAACCACCTAGATTCAAAGAACTCTTATGTGCGAATGCTGTTCCTAGGCTCAGCATTCACCACAATCATTCCCCAGCAGCTTACACAAAAACTTGGACACTTGGGACTCAAACTCCAACTGGGTGCTGGACTTTCTAACAGGGAGGTCACAAAATGCACTGGTCAGCAGCAACATCTCCAAGACCATCAACCTGAGCACAGGGGCTCCGCAGGGATGTGTGCTCAGCCCATTGCTCTTCACACTGCTGACCCAAGACTGTGTGCCAACTTACATCACCAACCACATTGTCAAGTTTGTGGATGACACGACTGTAGTTGGCCTCATTACCAACAATGATGAGGCCAACTACAGGAACTTGGGATCCAAGGTGGCGCCGCTGTGTTTGGCCAGCTGTCTACTCCTCCTGTGTATTTGTTTTTTTGCGGCTTTTGATGTTCCCTCTGCCTTTTCTACTTTGGTGTATGATCGTTTGACATACGCAACTCGATGAGAAGAGGCCCATATTACTGTCATGGTCAACAATTTAATCCTCCACCACCTCTGCCAGCGTCAGTACCGTTAGTTCTTTTGGATCTATCTGCAGCCTTCGATACTGTCGATCACGCTATTCTTTTGTCGAGACTTGAACACCTCGTTGGACTTAAAGGCACTGTGTTAAACTGGCTTTCTTCCTTTTTGACCGACAGAACCTTCTCTGTTAGTATTGGCGACTGCGTCTCTAATATAGCTCCCCTCACCTCAGGTGTTCCGCAAGGTTCGAACCTGGCTCCATTACTCTTTTCTCTATATATTTTACCCCCTGCGGCTATTATATCTAGCCATAATGTTCATTTCCACTTTTACGTGGACGATGTTCAGATTTATATGCCACCGCTCCTATGTGACTCCAATGCTCTTACCCCGTCGCATACAGTAATTGCATTCGGGATATATTGGCTTGTGCTAAATTTTCTGCAGTTAAATGAGAGTGAGACAGACTACATCCTTATTAGTCCTGATCTGTCGCCTGATGTTGTTAACCTCTGCACTTCAGTCTTCCCTCTAGATGACACGGTGAAAAATCTCGGTGTAATTCTTGATAGTAGTTTTACTGTTGAGAAACGGATTAGGGCAGTGGTTAAGTCGTGTTTTTTTTTTTTTTTTTTCATCTAAGACTCTTATCTAAGGTTAAACCTTTTTTGTCACATGGAGATCTGGAGAAGGCTATTCATGCGTTTATTATCTTACGGTTAGATTATTACAATGCTCTGTATGTTGGAGTTCCCCAGACTTTGCTTCAAAAACTACAACTAGTCCAAAGTGCTGCAGCTCAGTTGCTATCTAACACCACCAAGTTTGCTCATATCTCCCCTATTCTCTGTGCTCTTCACTAGCTTCCAATCCAATTCAGAATTAAATTAAAAATTTTATTGTTTGTTTTTAAAGCTATTCATGGCCTCGCACCTTCTTACTTATCTGACCTGTTGGCAATTTATGTGCCGTGGAGAGCTCTCCGCTCCGCTGATCATTTGTCGCTGGTGGTCCCACGATCCTGCTATAAGAAATGGGGCGACCGTTCCTTTTTTATTTGTGGCCCCAGACTGTGGAATGCTCTGCCGGTAGAACTACGGGCAGAAAGCGAACTAGTGGCCTTTAAGTCAGCCTTAAAGACCCACTTCTTTAAGCAGGCTTTTGAGACCTAGCTTTATTGTTTTGTTTTAGCTTTGATCTACCAACAGTATTTCCTTTTTTATTGTACAGCACTCTGGTGCTCCTGTGAGTTGGAGAGCGCTATATAAACAAAGTTTTATTATTATTATTATCATTATTATTATTATATAGGTTCATAACTTGACACTAGAGTTGTGATTCTATATCAAATGATAAAAGACAACAACCTCTTCCTCTTCCTCAACCGCTTCCTGAAAATAGTTACACTTTTGGAAAATTCCATTTTACAGTGGCATAACTGTTCCAGCACAGTGTGTGATTTGAACTAGCAAATATTAAATACACCGTGTGAAGTTGTATTAAAAAGAAAAAAAAATGAGATTGCAGAGTGGTGACCTGCTGTTGTATAGAAGGAATTGGTGCCATGGAAATTACACAGATTGGAATGCACTAAACCTATATGAATCCATTACAGTGTATTTAATGCGAATTATTAAACTATAGGTAATTCCACAGTTTTATACCTGGCTTAGTAGTGGCGTGGCTGGGATTCATTTTTTTGTTAGAATTTCACAAGTCATAAATATTTAATAGTATTTGTGATTTAAAAACCAGTTTCCAACTGTACTATTGTAATCAAAGCAAACATAATGTTGCCTCTGTCCTTGTGTCAGGCTCTGGATGATGGTGTGGCCAGTGAGGAGAACACCCTCCAGCATATTGAGGGTGTGGCGGAGGCCGTGAGGGGCAACACCTCTCCTGCTGGGGCTGAGTTAGTTGTGGAGGAGGCTGAGGAGCTGCGGCTAGGGTGGCAGTGGGTGGGGGCGGGGGCGTGGGGAGGGGG